TGTCCGCTATTATGGCAGCCAAATTGCTAGAATATGTATAATCAAGGCAGCACTTAAGTACAATACTTAACTATGCTTAGCTATTCATAAGTTTGAGCCGCAAGTCTAATGGATTATGCAGCCCTAATATAATTTTGGCTTCTAAGTTTCGTGTTTATGTTGACTTTAAGTAGACTGAAGCAGATAGTTAAAAATTATATGACTTTCGGAGATACAAGAGCTGTATTCATTCCTTAGACATTTCTCTCAGTGGAAATAAATATTAGCTTATGAATATAGGCTTTAAATTTAAAGGTCAATATAGACTATAATCACTAACTTGGAAATTTACACAAGATCCAAATAGTAATAAATATTTAGTATAAATTATTTTATAGATTTAAATATATCGATTCAGAGCTGTTTAGTACAATCTGTATCTGAAATCGTACATAAATATTTTATATGTATTATTTGATAGATATATTTTAGTTGCTTTTTCTATTTTCTTACTATTATAATCACTGCATATCTGGAAGTCAGGCATGCCCGCTTAGAGCACTCGTACTCTTGCTTAATAAGTTAGCCTCAAGTGCTCAATCGCTGAGATGAGTTAAGCGAAAGCGCAGCAGTTGCCTACCATTTGTATACCCTGTAAACAAGCCGGTATAAAGAGTAGCAGCAGAGCCAAAGTAAACTTGGCTAATTGCCATAACACACAATTCGCCGTGCTTAAAGGGCGTGAAGAGCGAGCGCTCCGTTAGCCGTAGTGCGCTGTGGGGCACAGTTTGCTGCTGTAGTGCTGTCGCATGCTGTTGCGTCATGTTGTTATTTGCATTTGCATCGCTGCTCAGCTCCTTGCTGGCAGCGCCACATGGCAAACGTACGTAAGCGTATAATCTGTGCAGGTGTGCGAGTGTAAGTGCGACAGTTTGGGATTTCTTGCAGCTTGTGGCGAGAACGAGGTGCTCGCCTGTCTGCCCTGCTCCGAGGAGAGCTGCTCGGTGCCGTATTACGCCGACAATCGCTGCTCCTACACCTGTAATCTGAACTGCGGCTGCAAGCCTGGCTACGTGCGCCACGATGAAACCAATCAGTGTGTGTCAATGTATGAGTGCGATCGACTGTTCGACTCGCATGCAAAATAGATTAACTCTATTAAACCGTGAGGCTTGACCGAAAATTTCTCGCCAGTTGTTTTTTTCTTGTTGAGGCTAAAAAAGAGTGTGGCAAACGTTTCCAGCCATGCGCGCAGTTCAGTTACCAATCTATTTCCTGCTCATTTTAAGCCTCTGTTCGGGCTTGCTCGCAGAGCAGTCAAAGGAGGCAGATGGGGATGATCCGGAAGGGCAGTCAGATCAGGAAGGTACAGAAGCTCAGACAAAAGAGGACACAGATGTCGAAGAGGCAGAAGTTAAGACTGCGGAGACTTCGGAGGATAACCAGAAACATTTTGATGAGGCGGCGGAAATTCTCGAGCTACGAAGAAAAATTCGTGAGTTTTTCAATGAAAATTCGACAAAACACAAAACTGGTAATTTTAAATATATATTTATATTTTAATAGTTTGCGAACGCGAAATCACCGGCGAAATATATTTGTGTTTCTGAAAAAAAGTTCAGAAAAAGGAATTTGATTTTATTTAATGCTGTCTCCAAAAATAAGCAATAAACAGAATTGTGTGTACGTCTACAATTTTTTTTTTTTTTTTTTTTTATATTCTTCAATTTATTTTCGGCATTTGCGTAAAATTTTATGTGCCTGGTAGTACGTATTTTTCGAGAATATCCATTTACTCGCTGTTCTATTTCGTTTTCCTCTTTTATGGCCATTCAGCATCAAATCTTGAGCAAGAACATTTTCTTCCTTTACAAAAAGTTTTATTGTTTACTTTTTGGTGTGCTCGAAATTTACGAGTGTTGGCAGACATGTGTATGTGCTTGTGTGTGTGAGGGTACACACTAGAACTGCTGTTAGTCCTTGTGCTTTATGCGGCGCACAATCTTAAACCTTAAATCTGTGTGCTGCTCCTCTCGTAAATATTAATTTACTTAACTCAAACTTGCGGTTTTATTTGACTTTTGTTTTCGCTCTCCGCTGTTTTTTAGTAGCCTACTTTGCACATAGAAAGCAAATATTACGACTATTGTGAACGTAAACCAAATTGCTTATCTTATTTCCCACTTGCTGTCGTCGCCAACTGATTTTCATTTTGCTGCCTGCCGACCGGAGACTTGCTTGCGCTGCCTGCATATTTAGCACTTAAATTAATTGAAAATCTCGAGGCTGGCAAAGCAATGAAAATGTGATTTGCTGCTGCTTGTTGGATTAGTTACAGCACTAGAAATAATCATTCGCATGAAATATTAATGTAGACATTCGTATGTCGTTCGCACTGACAGTCGAATAAATACATTTATTTTGGGATATTAAATGACAGCATCAATTGATGGCAGCATATGTTAGCTACATCAGAAATCTCAGCTGACTTTGCTAAAAGAAAAAGCTCTATATGTAGTGCAATGCACGTCTAAAATATTTTCTTGAGCAAGAGTGTTGATGTTTTCTTATGTTCGTTGCATAATTAATGCGGATTCGGACAGAAGAAAAGAAATAAGGAAACGGTAGGAAAACCTAGTGTTTATTGGCTGTTGATGGGTAAATCAAAAATAAATATTTTATTTTCATTTTATACACATATTGTCCCCATTTGTAGTAATCAAGGAATAAAAGCAATTAAATATTTAATTCTAATTTCTAATTAATATTTAAAAGTGTCTTGCATAAATTATTGTATATTAAGTGCGAGAGACAAACTCCCATCTTATTAACTGTATGAAATTAAGCAGCATTGCCATGGCAAATATGGTTTATATAGATATACATATATCTTGAATCTGAGCGTGTCACGTCACGTCGCATCGTGTCACATATCCGACTTAAACATTTTCTATTTTAAGTGCGGCTCTGTGGGTGTTCTAAGCATTTAACAACGCAACGTAAATGCTCACACATGCGTGACACCAACACAATGCCATTTTATGTGTCTCTGTGTGTGTGTGTGTGTGAATGGGAATGTGTTGGGCGCGTGAACAGCGAACCAATTTGCCCACTAAATGATTACTATTATTATATTATTACGGAACGCTGCGGCCATTGCCTAAACTGCGGCGGAGGCTGGACATGTTGGGCGCTCTTAGTGGGTGGTGTTTGGTGGATTGGTGGGTTGCTGGGTTGGTTCGGTTTGCGGTGTGTGGTCATAGTGCACATAATTTTTTTATGCTTGCCTATAAAAAGCAATTAAATGGGCAGCAAAGTGCGAGCTATCTATCTAACACGGACGCACTCATGCTGCGGAAATGTTATTATATTCCGTGGAATGTGATGCGTAGCGCGAAATAAAATTAAATTACTCATTAGTGGTGGATTTGCGCTTCATTTTGGGCGGCCGAAAAATGCAGACAGTGTATATCATTTATTTTTGTATTCGTGTTCAGTTGATAAATGCCTGGGCGTAAATTAAATTGGCAAATAGAAACCACAGAAATTTGGCAAGCAAATAAATTGTGGATGGCACAAAGCTCTGACAAATGCAAAGCCACAGCACTCCCTCGGGCGCCAGTCCAGAAGTTTAGCCCGTTTTTCTAGCAGTTGGCTGATAATCGAATTCTCTTGTTCTTGCTGCACAATAAATTCAAAACTTTTTGCACCTATCTGGGGCGCTAAACCTTTGCCGCATGTAACTGTAAATAGTATATATAGTATACTGAGTTAGGTTGTGCATTCCCTTGGCTGCTTGCTTCATCTTTTTTGCCAGGCTAACACACATTCAGGCGCTTGTGCCGAACTTTAAGATAAGGCCTACTGAGCACCCACAATCCCCACAAAGCCTGCTTAATTTCTTACCCAACAATTCCGTTGAAACCCAATTGCCAATTGTTTAATGAGCTGCTCAGTTCGCCCCTTTCTGTTGTTGTTGCTGCTGCTTGGACTTGTTAGTTGTTCCGGCTTACGCTTTGGCTAGTTGTATACGCTCGCTGCTGGCCAGAAGCAGCGGAAACGGTTAGATAAGAGAACGAGATAGAGGGAATTTCGCAAAAAGTTGCGCATTTTAATCGAGAAACTTTTCGCTTCAGCTTTTGAAGACTCCAAAGGACAAAAATAATCACAGCAACAAGGACGCGCAGAGCAGCCAACAACAATGTGTAGCTCATATATTCGTTGAACTTGTCTCAGTTTAGCACTCGGATGTTCTTTAATTGCTTTCTTGAGTGAGAGTTGAAACAGCAAAAATTACTTTAAGCTATATATATGTACACATACATATGTAATATATGGTATATGGCTTACACACATCATTTTCAACAATGGGAATATTAATATTTCACTTGCATCAACTGCTTCCTTCTGCCGAACTTAATACAGAGAACTGCGTGCCTTCATAAATCCCATTCGACACTCCAATTGGATTCACAGCAGAAATCCATTAGCTACCCACACTTACGCTGTGACGAATTACAGCGCCCGCCCAAAAGTATGCTGTGGAATTTTTTAAATATTAATTCCGACTGCACAAAGGTAAGCAGAGTAAATAAAAGCATCAAATAGCTCGAGCGCGAGCTCGCAGTGCAAGCGTCCACTTAATAAGCGCTGAGTGAGTGAAATTAATAAATAAATAAAAATGTGCACATTTCATTGGGCAAATAAGAAGCCTTCCTCGGGTATTTTGATTGGCCCGGTCAAGGAGGCCGCAGTATGCAGCGTTAACATGCCTGAAGATATATCGGAATCCTGCTGTTCATTTCATTAATATTAAAGACAAATAAACACCCACACAACGCAGCCTTTATGTAATTTTTACTGGCAATAAATTGAATTTTAAGCCGCGCTGTGCGCGCGTGTGTGTGTGTGTGCCTGTGGGTCTGCAGGACGCCACGAGGAATAAAATTAAATTTAACAATTTTCTGCCCGTGCATTGTTAATGTCTTTTAACGTTTGCTCTCTTTGTTCACGAACCGCAGGTATGTGCACTATCCAAACGCGCCGTAATACTCCAATCGCCGGACATGATGGCCTACAATGAGCTTCAGCCCAACAACAACAACAACAACAACAATGCAGGCGGCAGCACGTCAATTGCGTTGAAAGCCTCAGCCCCACAGAATATTATTGCCAATGCCGGGCTGAGCTATGAGGATGTGCTGAACGACGATTTCCAATTCGACATGGATGGCCACGATGTGATGGTATTTCTGCACATACAAAAGACAGGCGGCACATCCTTTGGACGGCATTTGGTGCGCGACTTGGACCTGAAGGTGAGCTTCGAACTTTTTACGCTATTGAGATAATCCTAACGAGACTTCTACTCTGTTAGCGTCCCTGCGAGTGCCAGCGCCAGCGCAAGCGTTGCTATTGCTTCCGTCCGCATCGCAACGAGAACTGGCTCTTCTCCAGGTACTCGACCGGCTGGAAGTGCGGCCTGCACGCCGACTGGACGGAGCTGACCAGCTGTGTGGACGCTGAGCTGGACAAGAACGAGGGCGAGACGGCCAAGCGTCGCTATTTCTACATCTCGCTGCTGCGCGAGCCCATCTCACGCTACATGTCCGAGTACCGCCATGTGAGACGTGGCGCCACATGGAAGGGCTCCCGGCACTGGTGCCTGGGCCGGCAGGCCACGGCCGCCGAGCTGCCGCCTTGCTACAAGGGCAAGGACTGGCTGGATGTCGATCTGGATCAGTTCGCTGGCTGCGAGTCGAACCTGGCGGCCAATCGGCAGACTCGCATGCTGGCCGATCTCGCCCTGGTGGGCTGCTACAACAAGTCCTCGATGCCGGCGCACGAGCGCGATCGAGTGATGTTGGCCAGCGCCAAGCGCAACCTGGCCGCCATGGCCTACTTTGGACTGACGGAATATCAAAAGGTTAGTCGCTAATTGGCTTGGTTAATCTGCATTACTTATCGCCTAACCCTCTCGCCATGCAGATGTCCCAATATATCTTCGAGGAGACCTTCAACCTGCGCTTCGCCATACCCTTCGAGCAGCACAATGCCACGATTTCGGCAACTGCCGTCACGAATCTGCGTCCCGATCAACGACGCCTCATCGAGAAGCTGAATAGCCTGGACATTGAGCTCTATGCATTTGCCAAGAATTTGCTGTTCCAGCGGTAAGTACTGCTAAATTATTTAAATGATAAATAATCAATCAACATGTTGAAAAACAATATTATTATAATAATACTATGATAAGAAACAGGAAACTTGGCATAGAAATAATAATTTTACAATCGAAGCCTTCACCTATAAATTAAGTAACACTGCTTCTATACCAAAGTAGAGCACTAATTGCTTAATAATCAATAATAGCTTCAAATCACATTAGGCATAAGCAAATAGCATATTATTTTGATATTGATTTTCAATTTAAATATTTGCCACTCTTGGCACTCTTGTCTTGGCACTTTTCTTCTCCCTTTGAGTCAATAGCATCGTCAGAATTTAGGGCTTATACATACATATATCCTCTATTAATAGGTACATAATTGTATTATGTGCATAGAGAAGCATTGTTTGCGCACAAATCTGAAACTCCAATGGATTCCCAGTTGCTTTTGCTATTTTGTATCCTGTTCCAGACAACGTGTTTGTCTGGACTGGGAAACCTGATCCGGATCCTGATCCAGGGGTCCCTTTCAGTTGCCACTCATATTGCGCCAGCTCCTCAATGGAAAAGACTCGCGCAGTTTCTGCTAAGGTCGATGACTCATTGCGAGTCCTTTTCATGCCTTTGTGTGTGTGTGTGTGTGTTGAGGGTGCGAAACCCTTTCTTATGTGGCGATCGCAGTGTATTGACATCGAGGCAAGGCGAGACAACAGACACAAACTTGACAACACAAAGGCGTCTGTCTGATGTTCCTACTCTTAAAGGAGACCGTGTTATTATAATTTCTTGGGGTTATTTTTGGCGCATTGAGTGCTAATGGATTTGGGCTATGCCTCATCAGGCATGGGAAATTGTCGGCGTTGTTCTGTTGCTCAATGAAATATCTTTAATTTTGTGGAGTGTTCATTAATGATCTACGTGCGATATTCAGGGTTACTGAAAGGAAATATGTATCTTGGGTGATCATGTTTATTCGTGATCAATACGGAACATGTAAGAGTTGCTCTTGATAATGATCTTTTGTTAATGACCTTCTTTTTAAATGAAACTAGAAAGAAATAATTTCTTGTTCATGCTGATCATACGAAACTTGTATAACGATCGCTAGATGAAAACGAAGTTAACGCTTTGTCTGATCTGCTACAATAAAGAAGAAGCATCGCAACTTGTTTAACATATTTCACACATAAGTAATTGAACCCGTCCACAATTGCAGATATCAGCATTTAGCTTTGGCTAACTGCGCTCTGGTTACCCTTTGAGTTCGAAGAGTTATACAAACTTTTGCAATTGAGACGGGTAAAATGCCAGCTGCCCGCTTTGCCAATGCGCTGTCTGTCTGTGATTGCTTCTGTCTGTGTCCGTCTGTTCTGTGCAACATAAACAATTTACCTTGGACCAGGCCAGGCTGTCTGTCGCCTCCTTATCATAGAGCAAACAGGGTTCACGCATAAGCAGAGTACATAATGTAATATAGGGAAGGAAGGAAGGAAGGAGGCGAGCAAGTAAGCAAGGAACCCCTCTGTGCTGCTCTAAGACGCAATTCCTTTGACATCTGCACAATTCAGCAGTTTTGGCAGTTGCGGCAATCCCGCTGTGCGCTGAATATGTGTGTATATGTATATCTGTATGATCCCATATACATATATATGAGTGTATGTATAGCTAAAATTTAAATATGTTTATGAGGTTTTCCGTTTACCCATTGATCTGTGGTTGAAATGTAGTTGTGTTTATGTTAGCTGTAAAGTCTTAGTATTAAGATTGATCATCTATACATATGGAAATATGGGACATAAGAATAATGCAATTAGTACTACAAAATATTTGAATAAGGCTATCATAATATAAAATATATTTCACATATTGTACTGCATTATTCATTTAATATAAGTATATTTTTATAATATTTCGTTAATGCAATTCTGTTATCCTTACATTCTTCTGTTTCAACTCTTATGTACTTTCAATCTCAAATGGGTTTATTACTTATTTGTATGAGTTGAATATTTGATTCATGCCCTTCATATCCAAATCTTGGGACTTGTCACTCCAATAGATTTACCTGGTATTCTTTCCTCCATCTCCTCTTCCACTGCAGCTCTCTTAACGGCAATTCAGCTGCCTTCGCTATATAGTTGTTGGAATTAATCGATTTATATCAGCTACAAGCGCAATTCAATTTAGCCAAATCAATTGCCAGGCGAGCTAATGAAAAGGCGCAGGCGCAACGCTTTTGCATTTTCATTTACGCAGTTGGTTTTCCACGACTTTTCCTTTAATGATGCGGGTCGAGTGTCAACTTTATGCTGGCTGCCAGCTGTGGCGGCGCGGCACCTTTTTCGCTTCGGGAGTGGGGGGCACTAACGGCTACAGCTACAAGCATATATGTATTACGAGTGTGCTCTATGTGATTGCAGGGCACAGCTGTCTAGCTACACACACACATATACTCACGAGTCTTAAGGTATGCCTTGGCTGTCTTGGCAATTGCAGCATTTGCGCGCGCCAAAAGTAAAATTTCTATGGTTCACACAAGATAACGATAAGGTTGTGTGTGCGTGTGTGTGAACGTGTGGCACGAACCACCACCGAGTAGCGGAAAAAAAGACAACCCTCGATTACCTTTTAGGTGGCTATGTGAGGGTTGTTTTGGGTCGGGATCGGCTGCATTTGCGCCGTCGCAGCTCGCAACGCTTCAGTTAGGTTTTGACAACGGAACGCGTAGGAACTCAGCTAGAGACACAGCTGCAACAAGCGGGGCAAGCGGGTAAAGGGCAGCTCACAAAATACATTAAAAACAAAAACAACAACAACAACAACGGACTAAACAGTAGAGCGAAACATTTAACGGACATTTGTTAACCAGTTTTATATAAGAGTTCATGTTTTGTGTTTGAGAACTGAAATTGTTTTATTGAGTTTTTGTTATTGAAAAGCAATTTGTTAACCACAAAGCATATAATAATTAAAGGAGGAAAGTGTTAAATTGTTAAAAGAGAAACCAAAGCGAATACCAAACAGAGAGAAATATGTCATTTTCCAAAGCCAAGTTGAAGCGTTTCAATGATGTGGACGTCGTTTGCGGCTCTCCGGCTGCCTCCTCCAACTCGAACAGCTCGGCTGGCTCCGCGGGCTGGGCCACGCCCACAGCGGCTGCTGCAGTGACTCAGGCGGCGCCGGCGCCCGAGCGCAAGGAGCAAATCGAAAAGTTCTTCAAGGATGCGGTGCGATTCGCCTCCAGCTCCAAGGATGCCAAGGAGTTTGCCATACCCAAGGAGGACAAGAAGTCGAAGGGCCTGCGCCTCTTTCGCACACCCTCGCTGCCGCAGCGCTTGCGCTTCCGTCCGGCGGCCAGTCACACAGCGGAGCAGGTGGTGGGCAGTGGAGCCTCGACGGCGTCCTCCACACCGCTGCACTCGGCCACAACGACGCCGGTGAAGGAGGCCAAGTCGGCGAATCGGCTGAAGGGCAAAGAGGCGCTGCAGCAGGAGATACGCAACAAGAACGAGCTGATCGAGAGCTATATGAGCCAGCTGGACGTGGTGCGCCGCCACGTGGACCAGCTGAAGGAGACGGAGCAGAAGATGCGCGAGGAGCACGAGCAGACAGCGGCCAAGACCGAGCAGCTCTTGCAGGCGCTGAGCAGCGAGAATCTCTCGCACAAGCAGCGCAACGAGCAGTTGAGCGCCGAGCAGTCGCAGTTGATGGAGCGCTACGCCCAGCTGGAGCAGCAGATGCAGCTGCAGCGGGAGGAGCACGAGCAGCAGGTCGAGCGTCTGCTGGCCGAGAACGAGGCCTACAAGTTGGCCAACGAGCAGCTGCAGCAGACCTGCGAGCAGCAGCAGACGGCACAGCAGCAGCTGGAACAGCAGCTCGGATCACTCCAAGAGGAGGTCACCAAGGCGCGTGAGAGCTGCAAGGCGGAGCAGCAGCGAAACACCGAGCACCTGCAGCAGATCGAGAGCTTGCAGGCGAAGAATGCCGAGGTGCTGGCCAATGTGGAGCAGCTGAAGCATCAGATCGAGCAGGACGCCTTGGCCTATGGCCAGGAGACAAAGATCACCCAGACGGAGCTCGAGTGTCTGCGCGTGGAGCGCAACACCCTGAAGAACGACCTGGCCAACAAGTGCACGCTGATACGCTCGCTGCAGGACGAGCTCCTGGACAAGGCGTGTGAGATCGACGCCCACTGCGACACCATTCGCCAGCTGTGCCAGGAGCAGGCCAAGCGCACCGAGCAGCAGCAGGCCCAGCAGCAGGCGGAGAATGAGCTGGAGAGCGCCGTGGAGCGCGAGAAGAGCTACTGGCGCGCCGAGCTGGACAAGCGACAGAAGCTGGCCGAGAACGAGCTGATCAAGATCGAGCTGGAGAAGCAGGACGTGATGGTGCTGCTGGAGACCACCAACGACATGTTGCGCCAGCGCGACGAGAAGCTGCAGAAGTGCGAGGAGCAGCTGCGCAACGGCATCGACTACTACATCCAGCTGAGCGACACGCTGCAGCAGCAGCTGGTGCAGCTCAAGCAGGACATGGCCAAGACCATCACCGAGAAGTACAACTACCAGCTGACCCTGAACAACACGCGCTCCACCGTCAACATACTGATGGAGCGGCTCAAGAAGTCCGATGCCGACGTGGAGCAATTCAAGGCGGAGCTGGAGTCGGTGCAGCTGGCCAAGGGCGCACTGGAGCAGAGCTATCTGACGCTGCAAGCGGATGCGGCACAGCTGCGCCAGCAGCTCAACGAGTCGCAGGCGGCGCTCGAGGCGGTGCGCAGTTCGTCGGCCACGCTGCAGCAGGAGGTATCGTTGAAAGAGTCCATGCTGCACGAGCTGCTAGCGAGCGAATCGGATACCCTGGCCAAATTCAATAAGATTGCTAACTCATTCCAGGAGCGCATCGACGGGGATGCCCAGCTGGCCCACTACTGCGACATGTACAGCGATCTGAAGCGCAAGGATGAGACGCGCGAGCTGTACATGGCGGACATGAAGAAGGCCCTGGATGAGTTTGCCACCGTGCTGCAGTTGGCCCAACTGGAGCTGGACAACAAGGAGCAGCTGCTGGTGAAGGTGCGCGAGGAGTGCGAACAGCTCAAGCTCGAGAATATCGCACTGAAGTCCAAGCAACAGCCCGCCGTGGCCATGCTGACGCCCAGCAAGGCGAACAAGCCGAACACCACAGATCTGGAGAAGATTGAGGACTTGCTGATCGATTCGGAGCTGCGTGCCGAATGCGACAAGATCACCTCGTGGCTGCTAAACTCCTCCGAGAAGAGCGTTCGCCAGGACAACAACAACGAGCTCAGCGAGCTGCTCGCCTGCAAATCGCCCAAGGCCCGAACTCCGCGCACACCTCACAGTCCGCGCACGCCGCGCACGCCCCGCTCCGCGGCCAGCACACCCAAGAAGTCGTTAATCTTCGCCAGCGGCAAAGAGAACGTGCCCAGTCCGCCCCAGAAGCAGGTGCTCAAGGCGCGAAATATGTAGGCCACGATTTCCAACATAATTTCACGAAAATTCCAACTTTAGGCTAAATTTCTACACATTAAATTATAAATTAGTTAAGAAAACACCCAACACTCTCTATATGCATATATATACCATATATGAAATACACGATGTGCTCTGCTGCCACTACAACAATTAGAAAACTCGTTTTGATTTCCTGCCACAAGTTTTTCCCGACCCTCCCTGGAAAGCAACAGCAAATAGCAGAAGCAGAAGCAGAGCCAGAAGCAAAGGCAAAGACGAATCAGTCAATGGGAACTTTTCAGACTTGCGACTTCCTTCTTGGCACTTCCTCGGCCGGAACGGATGCGGCTCGAGGCGCAGCAGCTGTGCAGCTGCGCATGCGTGGCTTAAGGGTGGGCACACACACACACACCACCAACAACAACAACAATTTATAACAAGCTCTAGCTAAAGTCTAGAGCTCGCACTCACTCGAGGGGTTTTTCCTTTAAGGTACTGTTGTAAAATCTGCTGCCTGTCGCCTATTGTCTTGGGTTATTTTTTCTTCTGCTTCTCGTTTTTGTTCGGGTTCGTGTTCAGGTTCTGCATTGTACAATTGCCGCTGATGATGACCTTTGACATTATGCGGCAACAATGGCTCCGGGCCATGCCAAGGTACATTGCGTGCACTTCTTCTTCTTCTTCCTTCTTCGCTTCTAATTATACAGCTGCACTGAGCGCAGCTGCAGCAACAATTGGGTTTTGATTTGGCTTGAGGATTGTAGAGAGACAAATAAAAAATCGTAGTAAACATGGGACAGAGGGTTGATTTGGTTGAGAAAGTTCTCAGACCGAACAAATCGGCGTTCTACCTTTTGGTTTTCTGTAACTCGTACGTGGAGTTTGCTTGTAAGATTGAGAAAGTGAACTTGGGTATTTGAAACTTTTCAAAGCGAGGTACAGTATGTGCTAAATGACTTCAAAATTCGCAGAGTTCAGTTGAAGCTATGTCGATTTTCCAAAAGGTTGATATCTACACATGTTTCTGAGTATATTCCAAATATTCCACAAAACTTTTCAGCTCACATTGAAATAGCCTCACCAGCTTAGGCAGCTGGCACGGCTCAGGTATTTAGCTGTATTTCTGCATACATACAGGTAGTTCAAGTTGCACATAATAGAATTCTATTTAAAGGACCTTAGGTGAATAGCAATTGTACTACGAAGGCTTAGCAGCTTACAAGTAAGAGCATATTCTTATATTATATGGCAAAGAACTATGTGGAAATGACCATATTCTCTTAACTTCCAGATGGTTCTTAATAATGTTAATACATATATTGGATTTCTTAATAATAATAAAAATATTAAAGCTATGCTTCGATTGAATCTCTATAACTAAATATAATAAAAGTAGTAGTATTAGAAGTAATTTTAAGAATTCCCTCTTCGTTTCTCTCTTTCAGCTTTGAGCACCTGAAAGCGAAAGATGCTAATTTTGCGCAACGCTTCGCTAATCTGGGCAATATATTCTACAAGCAGGGCGTCACGGAATTCAATTGGGATAGCAACATAGAGGATGCGCTGAGCACGGATCACTGAACGGATCTTCAAAACCAAATATTAATGTTTAGCATTTAGTTGATAAGGAAAGCGGATCGTCTGCAAATGATGCAGTAGAGAAAAGAAAAACAAAACAAAGGACTTTAAACTAGGCTTAAGCTTAATGTTAACAATTATTATAAACAAAAGATCGAATTACTATACATAAATAGATATATGAATGCATATACACATAAACGCAATCAAAAAGCAAACCTAATTATAGATACAACAAATGGCAGAAATATTTGCAGCTCTCATAAATGTAACGAAATGCTGAATAAGCCGTTAGATATCCTACTTACGTACATATAAACTAACAACACTCCTTGCTGATAGATAAGTCGTAGTGCCCGATCACACGCATACACTCTCGTATATTGTAAATAGATCTACGTATCCTGCAAGTAAAATAATAATATTATTTAATTACACTCAGCGCATAAACTACACGCCATAATTTAGTTGTAACTCTAATTAATATATAATTATTTTTTTGTAATCGATAACTTCTGTTACGTAAAGCCAAATCTACATTTAGTGCATAGCTCTGATGAGAACAAAAACAAACACAAACTCATAAATTGATTTCGATCCAAAAATGCATTTATTTTATTTAATAATTTAGCACAGCATGTAAATACCATAAAACAAAGCATAAACATAAAAATAAAATTATCACTAAGTTTTTAATTTTGAATAAAGTTTTTTTTTTTTTACAAATTATATTATTTGTAAAGCGTTAAAATATTGTTAGCTGGCATAATTATTTAAGACAATAATTGATTCAGAAAAAAAAATAAAATTTTATTGAATTAGCAACAAATATGAAAAAAAAAGAACCTCGTTTAACGCAAAACCAACGAATTATGAATAAATAGAAAACCCTCAAGAAATCAATGAACGTGAGCCTATTGCATATACATATAATTGGCTCAGTCATAAACTGCATATAGATATATAAAGTAAGGCGAAAACTGATTTGTGCCATTTTATAGCGACACGCAGAAACTCTGCAAAATAAATCGAATTAGATTGAAATAGCAAACAAATAACCAAAATGACTAGGCGGGAAATTGAGCAAATATTTATCTGAACTATTCGAAGTTTTTCGGTTTGCTAAACGAGACAGGCAAATACGACGAAACAGACTTTTGGGCATGAGAAAGAATATATACATAATATATATATCAAAGGTCGAAATGAATAAATTCAATACATAATAATAATAAAATATAAAATAGTGTTTTATTTTTTCTGTTTAAGATAAGCTGAGCGTTTGCTTTTCTTCATTAATTAATTTACATATATTATATATCAGCTCATTTAAGATTGTCTTTCCCCGAATTCCCCTTGCCTGTCCCCTAAATATTTCCTATTTTACATGTGTTATGTGAATAGCGTTTCAATTATCACCTTTGATTCGATTGTGTCGCCGCTTTTGTTATTTTTATTCCCAGACACCTCCTGTAAATAAATAAATTCAATTTATTATTTAAGCAAATTCTTTATTTAGCCCGTGCTATTTGCCTAAGGCCTTACGTAGCTGCCTTCATAACAAAGCAAAGCAAAGCAGGCGAAAAATACGTGGAAAAAACGTAATAGCCGGGTCTATTTGACTGCGAAATACTCTGCACACAGCAAATAACTTGACGGAGTACGAAAAAGTCGTGCTGAAACCCGTTTGCAAAAAATAACGAATATACCTTTCATCACTGAGCACAGGGTATAGAAATTAATACGTTTATTTTCCAATCGAGGCGATATGTCGTTCTGGCAACTAATTTGCACCCAATTTGAGCTAACAGCTAAAACAAACTCCAGTTTTTTTCCTCGTCAAGGGAAATGAGGCCGCAGAGCTCAGTGCTCGTGTTAGTGTCGGCCACTGAAGATGATGAAGGCCAACGATGCGATCTGTAAGCGGCGCAGATCCTCTGCACCGCCACCTGGCGTCGATATTGTGCAGCACATTAATGGGAATTTCGGGCGCTGGCAGCTTCGCACGATACTCCTAATATTTCTGTGCAAAATACCCACGGCCTGGTTCATGGCCTGCATCATTTATACAGCCCCCTATCCGCAGCGCGGGGAGCTGGTCTGCCGCTCGGTCAGCTGGAATGCCAGCGAATCGCTGCCCAGTGAGAGCCGGAATACGGATCGGCTGTTCAGCGTGCAGGTGTGCAATGCCTATGCGCAGAGCTTGTCCCACAACTTTGTGCAGCGTTATGGAACGAGCTGGAACGGAACGCAACAGGTGATGCCCTGCGAGCGCGTCGAGCACCATGCGGAGTACAAATCGCTGATCGTCGACTTCGATTTGATATGTTCGCGTCGTGTGCTGGTGGCGGTCACCCAATCGTTTCATGCGCTCGGCGCTTTAATTGGCGGCCTACTCGCATACCAGGCGCTCCAGCAGTGAGTCTGCGTCTGCCTGTTCCATGAATCTCTAAGTCATCTAAAAACTTTCCACTTTCAGCGTCAGTCCGCGTCGTTTGATGCTGCTCGGCATGCTGGGGCAGATCTTTTGTGGCAACCTGACGGGTCTGGTGGACACCTATCAGCTGCACATCTACTTCCGTTGCCTCACTTCCGTCTGCTGCACGCTCATGTACACAGCCGGGCATTTCATATGTAAGCAAAGACAAAAGACTTAAGGCACAAACTTGCTCTGAGATCTTCGCCTCTTCATTAGTAATGGACATCACCTCGGGCAAGGCACGCATCTTGGTGGTGACGTTGTCGGAGCTCTTCTGGTCCATTGGCTTGGTGCTGCTGCCCGCCATATCCATATACTTCGATAACTGGAGCCATCTGTATGTGGCCATATCCTCGTCCTTGATTGTGCTCGTCTGGCTGCATCGCTGGATCTCGGATGCGCCGCGCTGGCTGCTGCGCCACCAGCGCGTGGAGCAAGCACTACGTTTGCTCCTGGAGTCGGCCACACACAACAATCGCATGGTGCCCCTCACTCTGGACGTCAGGCTGACCATCTATGCCAGCGAACTGAAGTCCGAACAGCGCATCGGCTATTGCCAGATCTGGGATAAGGAGACCAAACGCCGTCAACTGTTCTACATTCACCTCATCTGGGGCTGTGCTCAGGTGCTGTACAACATTATACTGCTGATGATTCGCAGCCTGGGCGAGGCGCAGGTTCATGTGAATACCGCTGCCCTGGGCTTTGCCGAAATGGTCGGCCTATTTGTAGGACTCTACTTCATACTCTATACGCGTCGCTACTGGCGCTGGGCGGGCAACCTGATGATCGTCGCCGGACTGTGCACCTATCTGGTGTGGCTGCTGCCAGAGACAGGTGGGCATATACATATTGATATTCTCATCTATCAGTCAACAACAACAACATTCGCTTCCTTAGATCGCAATTCACGCCGCGTCGGCCTGGAGCTCTTGTTTTGGATGCTGCTGAAGTTTGCCAATGCTGCGTCCATAGCTGTGCTGACCACGTGCACGGGCGAAATGGTGTCGCCGGAGAAGCGAGTGCTGCTCATGCTCTCAGTGGTTAGCTTCGGCCGGCTCTGCTTGGTGTTCTCGCCGCTGCTGAGCACGCTGACTGTGGTGCATCGCCTGCTGCCCATTAGCATCATTGCGACAGTGGGCTGGGTGTACGGCTTCCTCATGCGGCTGCTCAATCGCTACTACTGGAATACGGAGCAGGTGCAGGTGGGTCAGGTGCCGACGCCAAACACCTATCGCCGCAACTCAGCCGTGATCATGCGCCGCTGCAGCACCGCCAGCTCCGACGTGAGCAACTACAGCAACGAGCTGCTCCACAACTTTGAGCAAACAGTCGCCGTGAGCATCGCAGATCTGTGGCACATCAACTTCAATACGATCCATGAGTGCGACAGCATGAACGAGATCAGTGACGTGGCTAGCAAATCGCAGAGCACGCAAACCATTTGAATTTTATGCCACTGCCCAAAAGTAGGCAACACTTTCTTTAACAACAACCTTAGCCATAAAAAATTATAGGCGCCTAAGTTATAGATTCTATATTATAGATATAAAAAAATAAAAATAAATGTATATAGTTATTTAGCAATAAATGCATTAAAGACCCGCCCTTCACACATATTTGCACAGATATTTCAGTCGGATCAGTGGAGTGAAATTGCGGTTTTCTGTCTGTCTATGCGTAAAATATTGCGTCAATTCACTGCTAATTAAATTAAAGAGAAATACATTCATTATAGCTAATTATTATTAAACTAATGTGCGATAAATGAACTCAATTAGTGCTAGAAAATATTTAAAGCGCGTGATGATCGAAATGTCAACAGCTCGAGCTGGCATAAATTATTGCAAGTGTTTTTACAGACATTACTAAGGCTTTAAATAACTTGACTAAGACTACAAAAGAGAAGTTCACATTGATCTATTGTCGTTGTTGAGTCAGAAGACGTGTCTAGCATATATTATTAGATAGTTAAGGTTACTAAACTAGTGATAATAATATAAGGAAAGTGTTAGAGTAGTTAAAATAAAAAAAAAATGTCTCTGAGATTAAGTTTTTCTGCTTTGGATCATACATTAAAAATATATTTATGAAATACATATAAAGAATTTTATTATTAAAATTATTATTGATATTTATATATAAAACCGCAAGAAAAGTGTAATTGAATTGAAATATAAGCAATTAATTAAAAAATTTTATATATTTCTATGATTATAAAAACGCAAAATTTTAATATAAACCAAACAAAATAAGCAACTTTATGAATACATTTTTATATTTTAGAAAATTAAAAACTTGATTTTATTTATATTATTTTTTTATTTTTATTTTTTATTTAATTTTATTTTTTTATGTTTATTTATTTATTTTTGCTTATTTTTTTGCTTAAATATATTTTTTTAGCCTATATATATTGTAATTGTTTTAACAAAGCTGGCAGCTAATTGTTCCATTTCTGAATTTTCTGCACATTCACCAATTTTCTTGACTGATTTCTTGTAGTTTTATTTATAAAACTAGATAAAGCGCAGGCCCTATTTATAGAGAAACAACAAAAGTTCTATGTCAGCTAATCGAAAATAAATGCGAGTGTGTCACTTGGCTTAAGCAAGTGCGAATTGCGACAGGTACGTACCATAAAGATTAAAATAGAATACCCGAAGTAGTAGTAGATGGCAGTGCAATTAAAAATTGTTTTTATCAGCCAGCCGTAGTAGAGTGGCAGATGCACTAGCTGCATTCTGATCCATTGACTATTGATAGCTTTATAATCTAAACTATAGACAAGAGAGCAGCGACGATAATCGTGTCAAGTGCATTAGTAGAGCGACCAAAGTTTTATTGATTAACTGCGGAAATTATGGAGACGCCGACTTGTAATAATATCCTGTTAAAGCGCCTCCTGTTTGCCCTTGCCTGGAGGACAGCTCATGCGACCAGTTCGAACGGAAGCAGTTCGGTTAACTCGGCCCTAGCAATAGCTTTTAATTATTTGTACAAATTCATTAAGAAAATTAACGCGCCGATTGGGTCTGCGACAATCGGCCCGACATTGACGACGTCTTCGATATGGCGGCTCGTGTGGCATTTGCTTCAGTTCGATTCCGCCTCTCGACCGATTAAGACGTTCGCGCGGCACAAATAAATAAATAAAATAAATGAAAGAAATGAAAAGCGCGCAACAAACAAATTAAAAGACACTCCACAAACGATCCGATTGAGCATACAAAATTGTTTATTCGCCTTCAATAAGTTCTTATTCATTTGAATACGAACAGCAGAGACTTTGCCATATCGCGCTGCAGAAAGTTGAGCGAAATAAATTGACGAAGGCTGAGTGTTAATTGGTAAACTGGTACAAAAAGTGAGATACGACTATAAAACACGCAAATTATTTAAATCAATTTTATGAACATCCAGCCTCTAATCGCTAATATAAAGATCAGGCAGCATATTACCTAACATGTGCAAGACTTCTGGAATATTTCCTTAGTGTTCTCAATTTATGCTTTCATTATAGACTTTGATGAATACATGTTCAATATTAAGGAAAAAAATTAAAATTTTTTAGATACATATGCTTTTACTTATATCAGGTAGTTTATTAATATTATATTATTTTTTTTTTTTTTTTTTTTTTTTTTTTTTTTTTTTTTTTTTTTTTTTTTTTTTTGTAAAATCAGTCTTAAATTTCCCTTATTTTTTTTAATATATGCAATATTATAAATATAATAGATATAAAATTAATAGATATATTAAAAATATATAGACACATATGCTTATCTTAATTATTATTACTTTATTTTATTTTGTCAAGTAAGGCGTATATTTCCCTTATAATTTATATATGCTCAAACGATTATTGAATTAATATATACATTAATATTTATCGTAAGCTGAAAAAACGCCATAACTCAAATATCTTATTAAGCTGATAGTAATTAATTCCATCTGATTAAGTGCTTTAAGCACTATTCACTATTATTTCCTACATATATGTATATATAATATATCTGATCACGCTTCTCAGCAGCACTTGCACTACCTTTAGAGGCTTAGTTCTATTTCTAGTTGCCTCGCTGGCTTGCTCCACTTAAGGAAATTAAAAACTTGAATTGGCCCAGCGAATAAACTGAATATATAATAAAATATTCAAAACAAAGCATTAATGGATTGCAATCCATCCACCTGCCAGTCCCCCTTTTCTGTATCGGCCTTAATTAATTTGCATTCGCACAACGAGTAATTCAACTAAACTAAGCCCCTACCCGCTTGATTTGCTCGGCGTTTGCCGTCTGCTGCGCAGAAAAATGCCGATCGGAATTCATATGGAAAACTCTAATATGAAATATTGGGGAACCAGTTTCGTATACCCGTTACCGATTGCCCACTGCAATTAGCACCAGCGCTCGAATTCGAAATTAAAATATTTGCACGCCCAACGGCGACAGCTGACAGATGCTGGAGCTACGGGGGCATTGTTCCATGGCATATGCTCCACTTGACAATTGGCCACTCGGGCTGTTGGATCACTCGAAATTAGCACCTCAAATAGATATATCCGACAAGACAATACAATATGCAAATTAGTTTAATTACGTGGACATCAGCCAAAGGGTCTCAGATATATGTATATAACGAATAAATAATAAAATTGTGCATAAATATACGATTATAGTTCACTCAAATAGATAAATCCGATGAGACATTACTAACTAAACAATATATTGACCAGATAACGAATAAATAATAAAATTGTATATAAATATACGAATTTAGTTAGCTCAACAGACTTCTTAACGCAGGGCCTCCAGGGCATATCGTATCTTGTTTATATTTGACAAATATATGGCTGATGCGAACCTTATGATAGAGATAACAATAAAAATCGCGATAAAGTCGTTATTGTTATATGATCTTTTCACACATTTTGATAAGCCACTCAAAGATATAAAAGGAGAAAATAAAACGTATTAAATTGCTAAGCATTTTCTGATTGCGGTAGACCCAGACAGGCACTCGGAGTTCCAGGAAATTAAAAAAAACAATAACAACTGGTAGAGAAATACCCTTATTAATAGAGAATTATTAATTTATATTTATATATATATATTTTTAAATTGAAAATCAAATTTTAATTACATTGAGACAAAAATAACTTCCAAATTGATTTACATACAGTAAAAACACTCGAATATTTTGGGTGTTAAATTGTTTATTAAATTTGGGTGAGTTAATTGAATCTTACAGAGGATGCTTTTCAGATCTAGAAATCTTTCTTATATACATTTGCTTGTGTATGAATGTCATATCTATAGATTCCTTTTGTTTTAGGTCTTCGAGCTCTTTCAACTTTTATCAACTTACATCAAATGACAAAGTCAAGTGAATCCAACAATTTGTCGCTCAAAGGGGGCAAATCGTGCTGCCGTCATGGCATCGAATTTCGAGGAGCTGGCATTTGATGAATTCGGCATGTTATTCAATGCCGGCTGTCGTGGAAAGTCAACTGATTTCAGCTGTAACCGCTTTCAATTGATTTCAATTGAGCGCCGGCTGGGTGGGGGCGGGTGGCACAAATGTTTTCATACTATATCGTATGTTAATATTTATCCATAAATAAAATAAATAATTGAACACAATGTGTCACGCACAGCAGAACTGATGGCAATGGTCGCCGTTCGATTTGTCATTCACAGAGCTCCCGTGGACGTGGTCAGGGCGGAAAATGTGCTAGACTGGTGCGAGCTGCGCGGAAATGGTCAATCAGGCATCCTCAATCCAGACGGTCGGCGGTCGTTCGCCCATGCCCAGTCCCCAGCTGTCGCACAGACATATCTCACATGCCAGCCCAAAGGATGAAGGTGCTCGGACTCCCGCTGCTCCAGCCGCAGCACCCGGCAGCGACATCATCACCGATGTGGTTGGCAACTTTGGCATCTGGCAGCTGCGCACCATACTCATCATCTTCCTGTGCAAAATACCCGCCGCCTGGTTCATGGCCTGCATCATCTTCACAGCGCCCGAGCTCTATCCGCGCACGGAGTTCACCTGCGACACCAGCTACCTGAACAGCAGCTCCAGCTCCAATTACAGCGTCTCGGATAACCAGTGCTATGTGCTGGACGACAGCTCCGGCAGCCGCAGCGAGTGCGAGCAGTTCACGTACGTCTCCAGCTTCGACTCCCTGATTATGCAATTCAATCTGGTCTGTCTGCGCGACATCTTCATTGCCTGGACCCAGTACTGGCATCTGTTCGGCGTGCTCGTTGGCGGCGTCATGGGCACCAAGATGATGCTGGGCATCAGTCCGCGCAGCACCTACTGCGTGGGTGCCGTCGCCCAGATTCTCTGTGGCGTCGTCACTGGCTATGCGAGAGACTTCAGCCTGCACTGCGCCTTCCGCTGCCTCTCGGCCGTCTGTTGTGCCATTATGTTTACCGCTGGACAGGCGATATGTAAGTGAAGAGTCAATGCCACTAAATAGTTTCCTGTGCTTTAATACTGCTTGAATTCATCTTTAGTGTACCGC